AAAAAATTCGGATAGTTAAAAGTGACATCATTGGTCAACACATTGTGCGATAAATTACAATTTGTATACAACGGCATACGGCAGGGAATTTAAAGACAACTACTCGGTGCATTTTCCTGCAACATGACCTAGTTACTAAATTGGGTAACATTAATATCGACACAGCGGAACATTGGCATTTTATTTCTGTGCATAATCACGATCACGACTATTACTTTTGCGAAATTGAAGCCGGTTTGCTCGGATTCGTAATACGTCGGGGATATTTTGTTTTGCATTTATCACGGCGTCAACTATAGCATAGAAGAGATCTATGACCATATTATATTTCTAAAGGGACCAGCATTTTCCAAAGAGAGATAAGATTAATTGCTAACAGAAGAGAATATTACTCACATGATTTTAAATTTTTGGATTTGTATAAAGTAGCGGTCGGTTATTTTTAGGGATTTGCATAAGAATGTTTGTTCCAGCTAATTTTAATATTCCTAAAGGAATTGACCAGTGAAGAGGTCCCTTCATATACTATATTTGTCTTAGAAACCTGCCATGTAAAACTGTTTGAGATTACTGGCAACACAGGTTTTAAAAGTCTCTAATGTCCGCTTGCACCAACAAATTTAAGCGGAGCTTAGCTTAAGCGTCGTCCATGGCAACGATTATTGAGACAATGGTTGCCATGGATTTTAAGTAAGCTTAAGCTAAGCTCCGCTTAAATTTGTCGGTGCAAACGGGCATAAGATACCTAAAAAATGTCGGCCCCTACAGATTCTTAAAGATTTTTGAAAATTCATGCAGACGCCTTTTATTCTTAAAAGTACACTCAGAGAAGCCCTTAAAGGTTCGGATCTTAAAGGGTAGAATTTCAAAGGCTCTAGAGCTCTGTGGAGACACTCTTGGGGAACCGTTAAGTCTCTTAAAGGTTTCTAAATCTTTTTAAGGGTTTTGGACAAAATGGTCGGATTCGCAAAACCACAATTTTGAAATCAGCGATTTTGAGTTGCCATCAGAAAATTTTGAAATTTTAAATTGAAACCTACTGCTGCGATCAGAACGAGTTTTCAAGGCTGGTCTGAAGTTATTGAGATGCCAAAATAAACCCCAATCAATGTAAATTAGTCTCTCCACCGGAGTTTCGATAAAAGGGTAGCTGAAAGAACGCTCTTATTATCATCACGAATAGTTCTGAAATTCTAGCCTGATCTTATCATTGATAGACATGTAAAACATTGCGTTTATAGTAGACGTGAAGTAAGTTTCGTTTATTTATCACGTTCCTTCGCCATGCACTCCGTCTTGGTCACGACGCCGTAAATCTCGATGTCAAAACTACGAACGAACCCACACTTTTAAACGCGCGCAAACAAAATGGCGACTAACATTTTAATTACGTTCACAAAAGTAATAACAATTGAAATACCATAAGGAATAATGGCGCTTGTTACGAATGCTGCGAGATAGTTAAATAACCTCTTCTCGATTTTATGGAATATCATAAAGTTAAAAGCCGAACAGTTATGTCTGAAAGGCAATTGCACGATACTTGCCGCAATGGGAAAAAAGTGCACGCGATATATCGCGTTTCAATCTATTAATTGATGCTGAAAGCTGGAGTCATTTGATCCGCTGGAATCTTATAGTGTTGCATTCTTGCACTGTGGGGTATCTCCCGGGGGAGGGGGTGAAAATCTAGCCAAATCGGAAATTCTTGCAGAGCTTTAATTTCGACGATATCATTCGGAAGATATCTGTTATGGTATCCAATATCTATGCTTTTTCCATATGGAAATCCAAAGCAACTCGGACGTTTCTTCTTCTGGTGCGAAATCTGAATATCGAAAGGAAAAGAACTACCATCAACTTTTCATGACATTCGTTACTTTTGGTCGGTTTCCATGTCAAAATCAAAACGAAGCTTTAGCTTTTCAGTAAAATAGTAATTTAAAGTTCTGCGTTGTTCTTGGGCCATAAACTAGGAATGGAAATTTGTAGATTAGCCAATTAAGCTTTCAAAATTATGTGGTATGCCTTTACCGTTTACAAACCAGACGATGTTATCTCCTTGGTATTTAAATTAGTCCCAATATATTTACGAATCGTAAATTGAAGTGGGAAACTAATCAACGTCTAGCTGAATTAGTGTGCTTCACCAGATTAATTAAGCAATCGCAACGAGTTAAAATCAATTTAAATTCGTCCTTTGGGCGGGCATCGGAACGTCCTTTAGAAATATTCGAGCGACATTGCCTCTTGACAATGGATCAATGCAATGGGGTCATAAAAAATCGACAGCTTTCACATTAGGGGCCTGTGTTGTAGCAGATGCTATCGGCATTCTACATTTATTCAATGATGCAGCTGTTACAAGTACGTTAGTCGATTATTTTGAGCCGATCGAGACCTACTTCCACCACCAAATTTTTGCCCAAATCACGAATAAAGCAAAAAAGGTCGCAAGGTCGCGTACCTCCACAATAGGTAGGTACCTCAATTTTCGTGTACTGTTACGAGTGCAATTACAACGGCTTTCGGCGTAGACCTTCCGCTTCGGTACCACCTGGGGGGTTATCGTACCTTGTGGCGGTTGAGCTATTAAAAAGAATTAAAGACAATGTCAAGGTTGTTGGATTCGAACTCGGTATAGCTGGTGACCTGTTATGCTTCGGCAACCACCATCATACAGTTCTTCGGCGTAGAAAGTTCCAAAAGGAAAAACAATCTCGGTAATCAAGACTTCCCGTCGTAAATTTACAAATTCTATTCAAGATTCAAGCGTGAAGCGTTGGCAACAATAGAAGACGTTCAGCACTAGTTGGTTTATTCTTATCTGCATCAATTGGTGCATTTGCTTTATCATCCGTTTAATTCCGTTGATTGTTAGGAGTTCTGTACAAAAAACCGCAAATGCTTTTCTTACAGAAGTGAGTGATGGGTTGCCTAGCCGTTAGGTGTAATGGTACCACAACTAAGGTACCTACTACCCTATTCTGGTACCACAGCAAGAAATTGACCTCAAACCGAAGCACAACGTCATTGTGTCATACACTAATCGTCTCAAAGGGCAATCGTTTATACAATTTCGTCACAGCATGGAAAAAGAACGTTTTGCAATAACCCACCAAACAAAAACGAGCAAGATTATTTATTCATATACGTAATGTCCCCGTAAACTTAGGCACTGTTGGGCAATAATCGTTATGTGAGAATATGAAGGATGATAATGTAGAAAGTTTGTCTGTAAAAAAACAATACAATAACTGAATGGCCGTGTCCGTTATAATGTAATTAAACAATTGAAGGAATGTAAAACGTTTTAAACAATGAATAACTCGAAATTAACTTAGTGTAACGCTGGAATGTTAAAAAAAATAAAAAAAAACTTAAAAAACTACAAAAATGATCCTAAAGACAATAGGAGAGCTTTTAAGGTTTCTAGAAGCTTCTTTGAGTATCTACTCTGTATTCCAGTAAAAATCAACCCCTTGTCACTCCACCCCCCCTTGCTAAAACAACCTACATGTCAAAAATTTTCAGTGATTAACATTCTAGTTTGGATTTGGATAAGAACTTAAAAAGGTATTTTATTTTTTGTTGACATTCGTATTCCTGTGTAAAGTAATAAACGATACAGGGTTGGATTCAGAAGGTCTTACAACCTTTTAAATAAGATGTTACACACATTTGCGAGGGTTGTTGTGGAAAGGGAGTGGCTGAAAATGGGTTGATTTTTACGTAAAAATACGTTTCCCTGAAAATCGAAGTCAACTGACTTATTTATTCAATGTAGCTCGTTGTAACTGGATTGCACTGTATATGCGATCTTTTAAGAGTGACAGGGTTGAAGGGGAATTTTTACAAACGTTTAAGTGTTTCTAAAGACCGAGATTATTTTCAGATGACCTTTAATAGTGTTTAAAATCCGAACTATGGAGAGCTTTTAAGAGAGAATCGTAGGGGTCTTTAGGAGTTTTAATAGGTCTTAAGGGCTGTAGTCTCAAAGAGTATTATTAAAGAGTCCTGGAGTTTCCAATAATCTTAAATCTCTTAAAAATGCATAAAGGCTCTAACAGGCTCAGCTCTTAAACACACTTTAAACGTTTCTAAATAATTTACAACGCTTTGAAAGACTCTTTAAAAATCTTCGAAACTGTATGCAATTCTTAAAAGTCCCTAAATGTCTCCAAACTTTTGGACACTAAGCTCCTTACGTGTTCTTCAAAGTTCGATTTTCAAATATGGCACATAAAATCTAAATGTCTGTTAAAACTCTTAAACATTTTCTATCGGCTCTTAAAGATTCTTAGAGGCTCTTAAAAGCGCTTAAATGCTCAGAACCTCAAGGGTTTTAAATGCTTGTGTAACGTCTTAAGATCTGTTAGGATCCCATAAAAGCCCTTAAAGCTTCTGAAAGAGGAATAACTACCTTTTAAACATTATTGAAGCGAATTAAAAAGTGTGTAAAAAGATTTCTAAGGTTCCTAATAGTGCTTCATAGGGAATAGGGTAAATATCCTATTTTTCAAGAATTGCAATCCGTACCCTCGGTCCATCTTTTTCTTCAGAAGTTTCCCGACAATCTATCTGAAAATATTTCAACGAAAACTAAATAGTGTCCTAGCCTAGCACGACTTGAATCAATTATTGTACGGGATACCAATAAGAATACATTTCTGACAAGGGGGTTTTCAAGAACGTTGGCTACAGGGAGGGGTGGTACTTTATATTCGCGGGGCTCTAGGCTATGAAATTCCTAACAAATTTTACCCTTACGAAGAAGATTTAAGACATTTTCCGCGAAAGAAAAGTATTTCTAGTAAAATTCCTACAAGTTTTTAAAGAAGATTTCTAGATTCTCGAAGACGGTTTCACGAAGGTTTTTAAGAATGTTTCTAACCAGGTTTTCAAAAATTCCAGAAAACCTAATGCCGTTTGCGCGTTGCGTATTTCAGAGGGTAAATAATTGCCCTTAAATCATGCGTAAAAAATAGAATTGTACTTACAATGTGTAGGTTAGAGATCTGGAACCCATCTCGCCGCGTGTAGGAGAACCGCTCCGGCGTTTATCCGGAATTCGCGCCCTCATGCTTTGATTAATCCTCATCTGCCTAGGCTGAAGCGGAGGGGGCGCATCCCGGCAGAAACTTTCGGCAATCGACGCCCTCTGCCCGCTTCTCTCGTCGCCCGGCAACTTCAAATCCTCGCCCTTCTGAATCGGCCTTAAGGGCTCCGCTCTGTACTGCTGCAATGAGCTGCTCGTCACCTTCTGACTGACGGCAATATTCCCGTTCAGGTGCACCTTTTGCACGGCGGGGTAGCGCACGCTCGACCGTTCAGCGTAACCCCTCAACAGCTGCTCGGTTTTGGGGCTCTCCTTGCTCTTCGTCTCCACTTGCGGTTCGGCAAACTGACGGTTGCCGGACCAGTCGGCCGATCGTAATTCCGGAGGTGGCGGCGGTAGCGGTTCGTCGTTGTTGATAACCTCGTCCTCCAGCGTTGGAGGCGGCGACGGCGGTGGTAAATCCGGACTGGGCAGTCTAGGCGTTTGGAATAGGGCCGGGAAAGTGCTGCGTAGCTGGGGGTTTTTCGGCGGACGTTCCGGTGGTCGTTCGGGGATCCAATCGTCGACCGAAATCGACGGACCGACAATGACTGGGCCTAGCAGATCGGACGACAGGCTACCGCACGAGTTACTATGTTGGTGGCGGGGTGCCATCTTCGTTTCCGCGGTTCTGGAATCTCGGGACGAGAAACTGCTTCGTCGCGAGTTTGTGCCCGAGGCGTAGTCCGACGCGGAGGACGCTCTTCGAGAGGGTGACTGGAGCTTGACGCGCGGTGGGGGTTGGGGGACTGAGGCAAGAGTGGGCTGAGATCGGGCCAGTTGTGGCTCTGAACGCCAGTTGTTCTTGGGGTGGTGGCGCTCGTAAAATGACAGTAAGGCTCGCTTCTGTATGGCTTTCAAAGTTGGATCGGGAATTCGATGCTTTTTATCGGGGTCTAGGTAGGAGTATTTTCGTTGTTTTTCTAATTCGTTGACTCTGTCCGCTACTGAAAGCGACTGCTGCGAGGTGAGGGATGTCAACCTAAAACACAGGCGGTGAGTAAACGGCAGATAAAGGACAGCAACTACCTACCTCTCATTCTGTTCATGTTGCAATTCTGACGGCTCAACTGTGTAGGTATTGATAGGGAATAGTTTCAGTTTATTAGTATTATTGTTGCGTTTCTCTTGATCCTTCCAGCCGTTCTGGGAGTCGCTTCCCATATACAGGACGCTTTCGGAGTGGTGTTTCTGGGGTGTCTGCACTCGAGCGCTATGTGCGATTAATTGTCTCGATATGGACGAGCTTGGGGAGTTTGCTGGATGCGTGCAGGAGCTGCTCGCAACAGAAACGTCGCTCATCGAGCCATGCCACTTAAGTGTCTCACTGGATGATGCGCTACCGGAACTGTTTGTTACTACACTATCTCTACCTTCCCATCTTGTCGCAGTGTTGTCTTGCTCGTTAATTTCTTCCCAGGTAAAAGACGATTGTGATCTGTTTGTAGCCGCCTCGCTGTCACGACGAAGTCTGTCCAAAAACGGAGTCGAGCTCGAATCCGTACTCGATACGTAGCTGTGATAACCTTCGGATTGCGCGTAAGACGGTTGCTTCTGATGTTGATGATTTAATGTGTCTTCGTAGTTGCGGGTGTATTGCTCTAATTCGGCTTGCGTTAAATGCGAAAGAGATCCTTTAATGTTGTCGCTGTACTGGCAGAGCTTCTCGATCGTAGGGTCTTCGTAAGCCCTTACATACTTCTCCAGATCGGCTTGCGTGAGCTGGGTCTTATTGTTATCCCTTTCGGGAGGCGATGGCACCATGTACTCCATATCTCCTAGAGGCTTACCCTCGCGATCAACGTGAGGCAAGTACAAATGATCCTTCCGGTTTTCAAGGCGGGACTCGTACATCTCCGGAGTGATCTTCTCACATTTTTCCATGACAGTTTTCAATTTCTGTAAAAGAAAATCGGTTTTAGTTAACAGTTCACGGTCCTCGCATAAGTACATAAATCAAGTTCGTTCTTTTTTATTTTGTTCCATCGCAGTCTCCGTTACTTTAAGAAGTCGAAACAGCCGATGTAAATCGTTTAATCACCGTACGTGCAAACTAACTAACTGTTGGTGCCACTATTCATTAACGTACCTTCAAGGCGCATCTTTCGTTTCATCCCCAATCAGTGTTAACTTTGCCACACTTGACAGCCTTGTACAAGCAATCAATTTTAATTACCTACAATACTTGCTTTTTTAGCAATTACATGAAACGAAAGCGACCCTACCATTTACAAATGAAACAAGTTATCCCGACTGAAAAACAAAAACCAGAAAAAAAACTTTCCCGAAAATATTCAAATGAGAGCCCATTTAATTATTAACAAAATATCCTCGGCGCAAAGAAACGATTCGCGGCTTCACTATTTGTTTTCGCTCCTTCGTTGCACGTTGGTCAAATTTTTGTCATATGTGCCGAAGCGCAAAAAAAAACGTCGAGTCGAATGGCGTCTCCCGTTTTCCGACAATTCCCTATCGCCGTCGCATGATCTTTAAGGCATTTAAAGACTTAACGACAGGTTTGAAAGAGAGGAAAGTAAACCCTTAAAGAAATTAAGTTTTTTAAACACATGCTTCTAGAAATTAAAAGCTTCTCTTAAAAACAAAACAAAATTCTAAATGATTTAAAATACTCTAAAAGCCTATGGATTTTTTAGTACTCGCAAAGAGGAACAATAATCAATTTCAGCGAAACTTAATGGAGTTTTAAGAAAGATTTGGTGGGGGTTTAGGGGAAGCGAAAGAAGGACTTGGGGAATTTTAAGAACAACTTGCGAGCGGATTATTCTGCTTAGGGTGAGTATGAAGAGAATTTAAACTTGAAAAATATGTCAAACGAACATGAGGCCTGAGGGGAAAATCTAACGAGACCGCGGCAGGGAACTCGGAGAAAAATTAAAGAGGAAATGAATGTTGAGGAAACTTGATGAAAACTTGGAAGGAATAGGATGCGAACGTGAAACTTGAAATAAATCTAACGCGCAGGGGTGGGGAGTATTAAGGGAAACTGAAAATCTAAGCCTCTAATAATTTAGCGGGCTTTGGATGCTCCTGGAGATTATTAAGAGCTCGTGAGGGTTCCAAAGTTCTACTTTCGAATACCCTTCAAGACTACTGATGACTTCGATGAAAGGTAGTTGTTTTTGTCCTCAGGGGTATTGCATACCCTTAGACCCCCCTCCCCCGCCCCGGTGCTACGTGAGGTGCTACGTTCCTTACCAAAATATTTAGAGCTCTCGGGACTCTCTTGATTACTTTCGATGAAGGTTCCTCTCGAAAATATTTAGAGCCTTCGGCACTCTTTTGATCGCTTGCGATTAATGATAATCGAATTTTTTTTCTGCGGGATATTCCACCCACCAGACTCTCCAGACCTACGTTCCTTTCCAAAAGATTTAGAGCCTTTCGCATTATTTTGGCCACTTTCGATGAATGATAATCGAATTCTTTTTTTTTCTTCGGGCTCCCTGGACTTACGTTTCTGTCTAAAATATTTAGAGCCTTTGCACTCTCTTGATCACGTTCGATGAAGAGTAATCGTACTACCTATTTTTTTTCCTGGGGGGTATACCATATCCCTTAAACCCGGTGCGACGTTTTTTCCTAAAATATTCAGAGCCCTCGGCACTCTCTTGATCCATTTCGATTAATGATAATCAAATTCTTTTTTTTCTGCGGGATATTCCACCCCCCAGACCCCCGCACCTACGTTCCTCTCCAAAATATTTAGAGCCTGCTGCACTTTCTTGATCACTTTCGATGAATGGTAATCAAATTCTTGTTTTCCTGGGGGGGGGGAGGGGTATTACATGCCCGCCAGACTCCCTAGAACTACGTTCCTTTCCAAATTACTTAGAGCCTTTAGCACTATTTTGGTCACTTTCGGTGAATAATAAATCGCATTTTTTTCTGCGGGATATTCCACCCCTCAGACCCCCCGGACCTCCGTTTCTCTCTAAAATATTTAGAGCCTTCGGGACTCTCTTGATCACTTTCGATAAATGGTAATCGAATTATTTTTTTTTCTGCGGGATATTCCACCACCCAGACCCGCCATACCTACGTTCCTTTCCAAAAGATTTAGAGCCTTTTTTTTTGGTCACTTTCGATGAATGATAATCGAATTCTTTTTTTTTTTCTGTGGGATATTCCACTCCCAGACTCCCCGGACTTACGTTACTTTCTAAAAGATTTAGAGCCCTTTGGATAACTTTCGCTGAAGGTTAGTCGAGTTTTTGGAACATTCCTCTACGATCCTTCTCAAAATATTTAGAGCCTTAGCACTCTCTTGATTAAATGATTACTTTCAATAAATGGTAGGTAAACGAATTATTTTTTTCTGCGGGATTTCCAATTTCTCGCGCCAATTTTAGTTTTTTTTCCATTACTTTCTGAGTTTGCTCTTAAAGAGAAATTTCAAGGACTCTACAAGCGTTCTTGCGACTCCTCTTGGAGGCTTTTTTAAAGACCCGCAAAACGGTTTAAATATGTTTATGAAGTCTCTTACAAACAAGCGTATGAAGGGTTTTAAACGCACTTAAGGAGTCTCAAAGGTTAGGAAAACCAATTAAAGGCTTTCATGGAGACCACTAAAGTCAAGATGACTAAAAATTCATAAAAGTGGGAGATTTTGACGCTCTTAAAGACTTTAAAGACCCTAAAATGCACTTAGAGACACTTAAAACTCGTAAGGATCTTCAAAATCTCATACTCTTTAGAGGTTTTTAAGAGCTACGTTGACCATTAAAACCTTCGGCGACTAGAGAAAGTTCTTAAATATAACCAATATAGCCTTTTAGAAGGCTCTTAAAGACCTTCAAACGCACTTTCAAATATTGCAACCCTCTTAAATACATGATCACTATGCAAGTGCAAATTTTCTTAGGAAATTACGTCTTTGGAGTGTTGCGAAGGGCAGATAAAAAATTTCACAACGACCTCGAAAACTAGCCGAGTCTCGAGTCGAGCAGAATTGATTTTTACCAGTCGAGCTGGACATCTCATAATTTCGAGCCGAGCCGAGTTTTCAAAAGTTCGGCTCGATTCCATCCCTAACTGCAAGGGTTGCTGGTGGGTCGTCTAAAGATAATCACCCCTTGAAAGAGAAATATTTCATGTACAATAGAAACTGCCATCCTTTCAGTAAAGAATTACCAAGTTCAAATTTTCGCAAGAAACATCCTTTCAACAAAATCTACGAAACAAGTTAAAACTTAAAAACGTGGTCACTCGCGACCGACGAAACCGCATTTTCCCCGCACAGAATCAGTAATAACTCAGACAAGAAGTGACTAATCCAAAAAGTTCTTTTTTCGTGCTGGTCTCGAGGTTGTGCTACACCGTATAAGAAAGAAACCACAACGAAAAAGCTTAAACTGAAGTATAGTGCGGACAATAGCGTTCGCTAAAAATAAACAAAAATATGCAACGGAACTTGCAACCCCCTCAGTAGATATTATTATACTAATGCGAATTTTCTTAAGAAATTACTTAATTTCTGAACCCTTTCAGGCCTTAAAAGTTTTCTAAGTCTGAAGAGTATAACTTCCCCTCAACTTCAAAAATCCTATCCGAAACTTTTAGGTTACTTTTGAACAGTTTCCTTCTTCTCATTCTTGTCAGTCAAATTTAAAAAGCATGATGAGATTTCGTGCGAGTTTTTCTTTACAGCTCTAAATATTGTAGCTAAAATTCCTTCTTGCATTGGTAAATGGGATTTTAAGTACCTACTGCAACAGTTATCCAACTTGGCGGATGTGTACGAATTAAGTGCAAACTATTTCAACGGAAAAATTCCAACGTAGGTTACTAACAACTTTATTTTCAGAAAAACGGAAAATATGGGCCACAAAGATAGGACCAAAACAACTGAAAAATACAGAGCCCCCCGGGGGCTGTTTTTTTGATACTGATCTGGCAAAAGAAAAAAAAACGCAAAAATCTCATTAACTTAAATAAAGGAGATGATTGACACGGCGATAGTTACAAAGGTGCTTTATTTATACAAACGTGACCTTCTGCAAGAACGGTACCGCATGTAACCCCATTTCGGTACGCAATTATACCGCGTCACTGTAGATATTTTAGAACGCTTTTTTCTCACGAATTCGATTTACTTTATTCGGGCGATTCTTTTTACTGTAAAACTATTTACCTGCTGCATGGAAGAATGCTGTCGTTTCATGTATGGTCGCGTGTAGGTCACGACCTTTTCCTTTGGATAGTTGGTGTGATCGGTCCACGATTTGGAACGGTGCGAGCCCCCGCTCGGCGGTCCTTTAAGTACCTGTGGCGTTTCGGCGGCTGCAGGTACGGGCCACGAGGGAAATTTTTCGTGTCCAGGACCGTACTTGATCGACTTAAGGCTTGATGAGTCGCGTACAGGTGGTGCTGGTGGTGGAGATTCGTCATCTCGAGCTGGGGGTGCTGTGACGACGGGTGCGAAGCTTAGTCCGGACTGGTTCTGAAGGTAGGAGTAGATCGAGGGTGCGTGATTTTTGGAGTTCGATTGTAGATTTGGCGTTGAACGTGAAGGCATCATTGTGTGGGTCGATGCCGGAAGAGACGGCTTCGTGTAAACTTCGACGCCATTAGTGTGGCCTCTGAAATCAAACATGTAGGTTAACGACTTTGATTTCATAAGGAACTAGGCATTCGCCTACACTTTATTGTACTAGTAACAAAAAAGCGAACTTCCGCCCCCGAGGCTGTATACATTTTTATTAATTTATTTACTTTCCTAGTTGACCTGAGGTTATACGTTAAGTGATGTCATATTTAACAATGAATTAAGTCAAAGCCCTTGACGGTATAGTAAAGCACCAACAAGAAGAAAAAACGTTAATGGAAGCCAGATGGGTTTACCTGCGCACATAACCGGTTCATATAAACAGCAAAAAAAGTAACTTTAATCGTCATTCAGTAGACAAAGGTTGCGATTTCCTGACTAAAGTACTGCTTGCAAGCAAGCTACATTGTTTTAAATATAATCTGGGTCTCGGGAAGATATTTACAAGAATCTTCCATTATGTTGGCCGCTAATGGAAAATGCGAGATTTGTAGTCAGCAATGTGCTTTTCGTTAACCGTCCTCGTATTGCAGATGCTCCCGTTAAAGGTTTTGAAATTTTTTCGTATGAATTTATGGTGGCAACCTTTCGAAGGTGACAAGTAACAGAACTCTTTATATTAAGTGGAACTTATACTACCGTAAAGCCTTGACACTTATAAGTTACGATAATGGGGTGCCTTTCGCATCCTTCGCCGCGGTAAAATAAATAGGTAAGCTGGTACTTTGCCCGTAAGTGCCAGATTAAGAGGCCATAAACATTAATCACTATTATCACTTGAAATGTGGACAGCCTACGTTCCTCCCATTTGGAAAGTTCGCAATACCAGGTATACTTGCTCTATGACAATATCCATGATTTACATTTGAAACCAAGCTTCATTATCATTGGCATAATTTGATGGGATCTTAACCTTAACCAGTTCCGATTCTATTTAAAAAGCGTGCTTAGAAACTTCAAAACGTAGAAAGCATTCCAAAACTCAAGATGGAAATTTTTGGAAGAGGTCGAAGACCTTCATAAACCAAAACACTACATACAGAGGCTAAGAAAGAGTACACTCTACTGATATGCTTCAAAGGGCTCCAGAATAACAAACTACACAGAGAAACCACCTGACAATAAACACCTTTATCAGGGAGCAAGTGGGTGACACCTCCAAAGGGTGTTAAATGGTCATTCAAATTTTCGATGGTGAAAATATGAATAGAGATCATGATGGGAAGACTAAGTAATTGTCCTGCAAGGGTGAATTATGGAACTTTGATCCACTTAGCTTAAGCCAAAACTTTCCGCCTCTCTGACATAGCATAGCATAGACCATGAATTCACTTTGTGCTTATACTAAATGGACTGTAGGAGTTTATTTTACATCGCGGTCAAATGTAAGTAGTTTGAAAACACATTCTTCAAGTAAAATATTGAGAATTAACTTTACTATAATGCCCAAATTCTATTGCTAGCTTCACAGTCAAAATTTGATCACACTTTTAAAGATGGCGAAGCCTGTGCTAACTTCCAAGAGAGTAGAAAATTTTAAAGTTTTTTCTGAAAGTTTCTAGGACGACCGATAGAAAGACCTTTAAAATTCCTCTAAAATTCCGAATTCTGGAGACTCAAGACTCAAAGAATACTTCTAAGGCAAATTACTACTAAGGAAATTTCTCCAAAAGTTTTCAAGAGTTCTAGCAAGATGTAGAAAGCAATCTGAAAAAATCTCAGCTCACAGAAGAATTTGCAATAAAGCTTATAACAAAAAACTAAAATGCATTTTTCTTCTCACCTCCTCTCCCCTAATCCAGCACCTTACTCCTACTTCTCGCTGTTATTTCCACCTCCGCACAGTTCCGTAACATGCGTTCTATGACCTCTTCTTCCTCACCGTACATTCTATATTTTCTTTCTTCTTCTTCTCTCTATTTCTCTTTCACCCTCTCATTATTTGCGTATCTGAATCCCGCTATTGTTTTAATATTTTTTCTTACCTCCTACATATATTTTGGTAATCACTCCCTTATTAGATCTTTATAACTACTTCCGGGTGCGCTCTCTATTTTCACTCTCTGTTGTTGTATTTGTGCATCTAGCTAGATCCCTTTTTGCCAGCTCATTTTCCTTATTATCTCCTACTTTCGACCTCAGTCCGCCCGTATCCATTTCTTTCGTAATACTTTCCTCTTTGTTCTTGCCAGATTCATTTGCGTTCATGCTGGTTGTCAAGCATTCTTCCACCAATTCGCTTTCGCTATCACTCCTTTCCTCGAATCTTACCGCCCTGCGTTCTGACTCTATCCTTTGTGTCTCCTTCTAAAATACAATTTGGTGTCCTTCCGTTTAATCCTAATACCCATTTATAATATCTCCTTTGTGCTTCTTCCAGTTCCTCCCATATCTCCGATCCGTATATGAGCACCCCTCTCGCAATTGCATTGAACAGGTACTTTTTTGTTTTAAAATCATTCTCTCTCCAATTCCCCACACCGGTTTCATAGCCACCAACTCCTTTTTCGTTAATAAATTATGTTATCTGCGCATTTTCCCCATTGTTTCATTGCATTTGGTACCATAAATAGTTAATTTCTTTTACCTCTTCTACTCTATCGTCCTTCCATTTCCATTTTCTTTTTTTTCTGCCAACCCCCTTCCCAAATCGCATCATCTGCGACTTTTCTACATCTGGCCCCATTCCTTTCCTTTCGCAGTACCTTTCTATTCTTGGCATCATTTGTTCAATTTATTCTACCGCTGTTCCATGATCACTGCGCCGTCCGCGTATGCTAGGGACCATATCTTCCTTCTTCCCATTACAATCCCTCCACCTTGGCCCTACATGTCACTTATGTTGAGATTAAGTAAGGTTGCGCTAAGTGGGCATCTCTGTCGTAGTCCTTTACATGTCCAAAATACTTCAGACTCCTTGCCAATTTTCCCATCTTCCATCATCTTCCACACTTTTCCCCTTTCCACTCTGTCAAACGCTGCAAAGGGCGAACACCTTTCCGCTCTTTTTTTCCAATTCCTTTTTCACCAATGTGTGTAATACATATATGCTGTCGATCATTCCCCTACCTCTTCTGAAGCGCATTTTTATTTCCTCCAACATCCTCTTCTTTTCCATTTCTCTTTCTAGGTTTTCGTTCAGTATCATTGTATAGATTCTATACGCCGCAGTCATTCCTCTATCATTTCTCACAGAATCTTTGTTTCCTCTTTTGAAGATCAGCATAATTACCCTTTCCTTCCATTCTTCGCGTAAACTTCCTCAGTTCCATATCTTATTTAATAAATTTCTCATCCTTTCCTTGGCCCTATCTGTGGTGAAAATCCGAGACTCAGTACCTATTTAAGCTTAAAGCACATTTGCGCGGACGGAATCGGCCTGGACCGGCCGGCAAAAACTCCGAAGTTGTGTATTCTATGCACACTTATCCGGGCGGAACCGGACCGGAACGGATTTTTGCCAAACATCGTCCGTTTTAGACCGATTCCGTGCGGACAAGTGTAAACAGGTATATGTATACCTATAAGGGCCGGTTTTACAATTACACTTTTACGGAGAATAAGATATTCCTGGAATAACTGCCATAGCAATATGTATGCCATTGGTTGACACAATGGTAACCAACGCAACCGTCGACATTTATTCTAGGTATAGCTTATTCTCGGTATATACCTTCATTGTAGAATTGGCCCTAAAACCATTATAAACATTACATGGGAATGTGCTATCCGGTCCGGGCCTATTCCGTCCGGACACCTTTCAAAAATCATTTTCTGTTTTTATTTCCCTGATGATTTGCTCCTCGTATTCCTTCTGTTACTGCATCTTTTTTTCTTTTTATTATCTGTTGTACTTTTTCTGTTTTCTCACCTCCTTCTCCTCTAATTCTCCTTAATTCCCTCTTTCTTTCTCCATCATTTCTCTATGGTTTTTTAATGCTCTCCTTTATATTATTTCCCTCCTCTGTATTTCCTCCAATTTCTTCTCCTTGTTCCTCTATAGGCTCCCCCTATACAGCTCCAACGTGTCTCTTGTCCGTAACTGTATCTCCGTTCGTCTTTGTGCCTTTTCATTTCTTAATCTTCTTATCTTCCCTTTTAGACTCAATCCAATCGGTTGGTGATCCCATTTTATCTTTGTTCTTATATCTAAAATTCATCTATTTCTTCCAGCATCTTATCATTTACTATTGTGCCGATTTTCTTCTTCTTCTTCCCATGTATGTGAATTGCACGCCCCTATCTCCCTCCATCTATTTAAAATTCAACATCTGTTTTCTGGAAATTTCGGTAACACTACCCCTCTTTGAAGAATCGCATACGATTTTGATTAAGGGAATTTTTTGTCACTCCGCTCCTATTCGAGAACCAGACTTTTGATCCGGCTCATATTCAATACCACCGATCCTTCGTTCTCGAGTTAGACGTGGAACAGACGGACAGAAGGACAGACGGACAAAACCGTCACATAAGGGGAATTTTTTTCCTTTCGAAAAATTTCCCTTAAGTGATGGTTTTGTCCGTCTGTTCCACGTCTAACTCGAGAACGAAAAGAGACAGCGATGTCAAACCTTCTCCAATCGATTTCTATTAGATCAAGGATCAGTGGTATTGAATATGAGCCGGATCAAAGGTCTGGTTTCCGAATACGAGCGGAGTGCCCAAAATTTCCCTACTGAAAATCGTATGCGATGCTTCGTATCTTGTTGCTCTCTTTATCGCTTGATTTTCTATTTTGTGTTTCTGTTCCCATCTCTTATTTTTCTTGAACTTTTGTTCTGGCATTAAAATCTCCCACTAATGCCCCCTCCCACCCTTTCATCTACCATATTTTCTATTTTATTTTTCATTCCTTGTCTGTTATATATCGTTACCACTCTCATTGTCTTTCCCTCCACTTCCACTCGTTTGATTTGTATTACTTTCTTCTCTTCCGCCCCTCTTTTACCTATTAATATACCTTATTTTACTCGTCCCTTTATAATGTTCTCCATTTTTATTCCGCTTTTCTCTTTTCTTCTATTGTTTGTTTCT